TCTGTACAATCCAGCCAGCTGTCTTCACGATGCATTCAATCCGATTTCTGTACAACCCACCATATGCTCCATATTTCAGAGGCCTGTGGGAGCAGGAGATAAGGTCAGTGAAACAGGGACTATGCCATATTAGGGGAGTAAACCGTCACAGAACCTGTGCTTAGAACAGCCCTTGCAGAAATTGCCTCCATCCTGAACTCAAAACCTCTAGGTTACGTGTCGAGTGATATAGCTGATGTTGACCCTGTCACCCCCAATTCACTCTTGCTTGGAAGATGTGATGCGTCACTCCCTCAGGTAGTTTATCCTGAAGATGAATTGCTTGGGAAGAAACACTGGAGGCATTATAGTCAGATATTGGCAGATCAGTTTTGGAAGACCTTCATACGCAGATATCTGCCATCACTACAATCTCGTGGTAAATGGCAGAAAGATCAGGACAATGTAAAAGAAGGTGATGTAGTTATGATCATGGACCCTCAGCAGATACGTGCCAAGTGGTTGGTTGGACGAGTCACTGACGCGTTCAGTGGTTCAGACAGGAGAGTGCGCTCTGCCAGCGTCAGAGTAGGGGAACAAGACTATCGGAGACCAGTATCCAGATTGGTAAAGCTGCCATATCTGGACAATGAATGACTGAAATGCTGAAAGACTATCAGTATTGAGATGACCTCGTAATAATGTCAAGATGACATCCATGACTAAAGAGTTTTCTTTTTTTCAAGTATCAGCTCAGAGATTTTCAGTTGTCTTTTGGTTCAATGCGAAAGACTTTGAAGTTTGAAATTAAGAATTTCTTCGTCTATTATTTCAAATTTTGTGACAAAATTTGGGGGAGGCTATTAAAGAGAAGTTATTTGTGAATCCGATTCCGCTCCATGATACCCTTTCATAATCCACCCAGTAACTGTAGCGAATATAACCTTCCACCCTTGAATCCGACTTTTGTATCTGATGCCATGTTAGCTGTACAACATGTGCTCTTAAGTGAGGGTGTGTGTGACACCTTGATGCCATGCAGCTGTATTTGATACCTGAACCTATGAATTAAACTTATGAAACCAGAACCAGCATTTACTAATTTTCAATAACATTATTTTGGGCACTCAATGTAAGTTTAATTTCTGATAGCTAGTGCTATTTCTGTAACTGGACTCTGAAACCTAGAATTCCTTTGTGATAATGTTCAGTACTGTCAGTGCTGGGTGCAATATTTATTGACATCTCCCACCCCACCATTGATAATTAATGCATGGGGTCAGTCTGTACTCCAGAGATTCTCGGAAAATGAAGGCCGTTATTTTCACTTCTCAGATCAGTCAAGGTTGTTCTTAGTGTTTGTTAACTGTGTAGATGTAATATCAGCTGTTTTGATGCATTTCAGAGAAAACAAACGTTATTGACAAGGAAGTTATAAATTTGCATAAAATTATCAAACATATTTATACCTTATTTGAAACTGCAAAGTAAATGCCACATTATGTAAATGTCCCAGTTTCACTATTCCTCGCATACCAGCTGCAGTCGGTTTGACTAGAAAGTGTCCCAATGAATTGCTGAATATATCAGATTAGAAAGGTAGTTAATAAATATTACGAGGCAAGATGTTCATGAATAACCTTTACACAAACACCTTTTCATCTATTAGAAATTGTGATGCATCACAGAAAAAGTTGTTTAACAAACTATAATTAAAATATTGACACAGTTCACTATTTGTTACAAGGGAGGAGTGCAATGAAAGGGACAGCCAGGTGTGCGAGAAAGGATGGAGACGGAACTGCACTGGTTATTGAATCAATAACTTTGTTGGCACTTGTGCACGTGCTTCTCTAACACCTGGCTGTCCCTTTCTCTGCACTCCTCCCTTGTAACAAATAGTGAACTCTGTCAATATCTTAATAATAGTTAAATGATGATGTTAAACAACTTTTTTGTTTTTCGGACATAAAATACAGCAAAAACTTCCCAGAGTTGGTCTGATATTTTGATTATGATCAGCGTTTCATTGAGTATTTTATTTTTATTAGTTTACGACTTAGATTGCAATTCATCAGTCCGATTTCGAGTCGAACGGACTGTAACTTCTGAAGGTAAGCAAAAATATAATGTTATTTTTCCCACAGCATAGCCAGAGAAATGTAAGACATGTACTTTTGTCCTTCTCTCTCATGTTTATATCATTGGGTAATTTATGCATGGTTATCGGAACCATGCTTCCAAAAGTTATAATTTAATGTATCGGAAAGGCCCTTTCGGCCTGCCATAGGTATGTAAATGGTGGGAGGGGAAGAATTTGATGAGCTTGTTTCCATAAATTCAATGGAAATAAGCTGCATCATTAACATATTGTGATTTTCTTTAGAAATAAATACTTGAAATTACACTGTTTCAAGTGTTATTATATATATATACAAATATGTTTTGAGCAAAGTTTGTGGTTTTATTCAAACGTACTAACAATGTTATTTGTACAGTTTTATAATACAAAAAAGCAGACAGACCAGATTTATAAAGGGAGACAACTGCATCTTAACTTTGACATGTCAAGAATGATTTTATGATACCTGCATACAACTTCCAGAAATGTGTGCATAAAAAAGAAAATTATTTTTTAAATAGATTTGTTCTTCTTTTCCCATGTTTTCTTTTTTCCAGTCCAAACCTTAAATTTTGCCTTAAGTTAATTGACAATTTTGAGAAGGACCTTTTCTTTCCTTGTGTTAAATTGTAATTTTTATGTTCTGCTAAATGACTTTTGCCTTTTAGACATTGGGTTCCCTGACAAATCCAGGAAATATTTCTTCTAGTTTCATTAATTTTTACTAGAAACTCGTTTTTCTTTGATGTTTTGTTATTATCACGGGATGTTTTGTCTTTGGAAACTGTGTGAAGTTCCTCAAAGTTTGAGCAGCAGCACAGACACAGCAAATCACTTCATGTAATGAACAGTCCACAGAAAGTTTTAGAGAAATTGCTTTATTAAGTAAATCAATTTCATTTTTGGGAAAAGACACATTTAGTTGTTTAAATTGGCCTCCTTTTCTCTAAAGGTAAATCACAAATTTCCTCATACATAGACTGGAACAAAATTTAAACAGGATGTTTGGAAAGATCTGCAACTGAGGAAGAAGAAAAGTGAGGGTCAGAAATTTCGGGGCCAATTGCCTCTGTGCCGGAAGAGTTTGCATCAGAAAGAGGAAAAGAGTTTGACATGGACGTCCATTAGATGTTTTGAGTCTGCTGCCACTTGAGTATAGCTCATGTACAAAGTTCTATCCAGAGAGGGTGCAGTTTGTTAAATGACCATTGTAAAATTGGCGCAACAGGCAGCACACTGTGAATTTCAAGTGCTGAAAGTTTGTTAAATCATTGAAATTTCCTGCTCTGTTAAGGTAAGCATACTTGAAATCGGTGTGCATTTTCCCCGAATTTTTCAACAGTTGGGCTCGCTCATAAAATGTAGCGCTTAAGCAACATTGAAGGCTTTGGTGTGAGCTATTTTTCTAATAAAAGGATTACCTGATGTCAGGCCATCCTGTCACTTTTGCACATTCAAGTAGTGTGTTTTGAGTTGGGTTGACCAAGATGTTCTTGGTAGGGTTCTGTGCCTTCTCCTGGGGCAAGTCCAATCACCAGTATGGATGGTTTCATTACCATAGAAAGGCTGACTGGGTTGCGGAGTTGAAAGATTATATTCTTCTTGGTTCTGACCTTTTGTAGCTGTAACCCAGTAGTTACCCAGCTTTATGGGGTCAGCCCCAACTGGGTGATGTACATTTAGTTCAGGGAATACAATTCCCTTATCTTGGCCCACCACGGAGAGGTGTACATCATCAGGCCCTTGTTATTATGTTTTACAGATTAAGATAAAAATGCAGCAGAGAGGGTGATCCTGGCACAGTCAGGCTGGTCAGGCTCATCCACAGCTCAGGGCCCTTGCCCCCTCTACACGCAGCCCAGACAACAAATATTATTGCATCATGATAGGTAATGAGTGATCAATAATACATAGGGTTTTGCATTAAACAGGGTGTGTTTTACAGATACAGATATTCCTAACTCTTTAACAAAAAGACAAAGGCATCAATATCCCCCACAATGGCAAAATACTCTTCATGAATATGTCTACTAGTTATGATTATGTCAAATGTTTTGGCATGTATATAGCAAAGTGGAAGGAGAGTATTGAAGGTTTTAAGTTCTGCTTCGGAAAAGAGCACTACCACCAATTTCAGTCAAAGTCAAACCTGTTGCCATGGAAACCCACAAAATATTTTATTCAGAAATCCAAAACAACCAAAAGGCACCAGTACACACCAGACCAATCTATGTGCCAAGTTTGGTGAAGAAATAGTCAATGGTTTTAGAGTTCTGCTCTGGAAAAGAGCACCAACACCAATTTCATTCAAAGTCAAATTTGTTGCATGGAAACACAAAAGATATTTAATCAGAAATCCAAAACTAACAAAAGGCACCAGTTTACCACCAGAACTATCAATTTATCAAGTTTGGAAAATGAAACATTGAACGTTTTTATAGTTCTGCTCCAGAAAAAAACCGAATGTGCACAGATGCATGCACCCACGGACGGATGGAGTCCATTTTAATACCCCCCGCAAAATGCGTTCTGGGGAATAAAAATAATGAAAAGCACTTTTACAGACAACTGAAAACAAAAGATGGTGAGCATGATAAACGGCCTCCCATGGATGCCAATGAAAGGTTCTGGAAACAGTTGTGGGCTGTACCCAGTGGCTGTGACCTTGAGGCACCATGGGTCCGTGATTACGATCATGCGAAAATAACTGGGTCCTTTATCTGTTACATCTCACCAGATTGCCTGAAAAGCATTATCAAAAAGTCCAAATCTAATACAGCCTCAGGGTCTGATGGCACCTGAAACCGGTATTGGAAACTGTTCCCGTGTCCAAACACCATTACGTCACTGTTTCAGTTCTCTTGTGGACACAGGTGATGTTCCTCCATGGTTCTGCGAGTGGTCGCACAATACTCCTTCCCCAAAAAGGAGACTTGACAGATCCCCAAAACTCCTGCACTATCACATGTTTGAACACACAATATATAATATTCACAGTGTGTCTGACAAACCTCGTGTCATCCTACTGCTCTTTCAATGACATAATTTACAGAGAGCAGAAGAGAGCAGAAGAGAGCAAGGAGGGGATGTTCAGCACAGATCCCAACCCCACTTACTAATCTCCTTTACATAGATGATATTGAGCTCATTGCCAAATGAAATACCAATTTGAAAGAGCAGTTTCACCTTGTCGAGACCTTTTCTAAGGGTATTGGCATAAAGTTTGGACTCGACAAATGTAATACTCTACATTTGAAACATGGCAAGGTAATTAATGATGGATCGGTCAAATTACAAGGGGGGAGGAGTTATTGAGCATCTTGTGGAAGATCAGGCCTACACCTATCTTGGAATGCAAGTTCTAGACAATCTCCACAATGCACAAATTCAAGACAAGTATAAAACTTGCTTTAAGAAAATCTGGAGCTCCAAGCCAAATGCTTGAAACAAGTTCAAAGTCACCAATACTTTTGCTGTGCCAGTACTTTCCTATTCCTTTGGAGTAGTTGATTGGACAAAACAAGACATCCAGAGTCTCAACTGCCTGACCATAAAGATCATGTTTGATAACAAGAGCCCACCACCCTCGTTCCTCTCTTAATCGTTTATATATGCCAATGTCTTCAGGAGGTCGGAGTTTGATTGATATGGAGGCTCTTCATGATGTGTACTTTTGCACATATTTATTTGATGGATGAGCCTCTGGTGATGCATGTCAAGACTCATGATGAATGCAAGGAATTCCACAACTATTTTAAGCATGCCAAGGTTGTTGTGCAGAATCAGAAATTTTAGGTTGATTTTGTTGATGGCAATGTATTGCTGGACAATGATGGGTATAAACCAGGTGAAGTTATTCACCAAGTCTGCCCAGAGTCGGTCATTTGTGGAGAAACTTTCTGGGAAACCATTGCATCAGTTGTACATGCTGTTTGTGGAACAGAACAGTAATCCCACCGACTCCTTCGTCTGGATGAAGTCGGCTTGTCTTAAACTGAGAGCTTTCTATTTGCGGCCCAGGACCAGTCACTTCCCACTCGCAATGGCCAAAATGTGATTCTTAAACAAAAGATCAATATGAAATACTGACTTTGCAATGAATTTACAGAGACTGTCCAACAACTTGTCAGTGCATGCCCTTCCTTAGCACAAACTTATCTTAAAAGACATGATGGCATGGTTCGTTGCTTCTAGGGAGTGGTCACTCCTCTCGGAGCTCCTAAGCTATGCCTCGGCTCGTCATTACGTGACCAGTGCAGCCAATAATGATGGGCAGCGTAGTTTTTAAGATTGAGCCCGGTTTATTTTCAACAGCTGATTACATACGCTGAGTGTTGTGACAACTGAAAACCTACATGTAGAAGATAAGTTACCTATTCTGTCACTTCATTTTAAGTCAAATACTTGTTATTAGTGTCAGTATAAGTACAGTAGCTTTGTAGTAAAGTTTCAAGTGGGCATGTTGTAGCTCACTGGCTTCAATTCTCAGTACACAGCGAAGAAAGACTAACTTATAATCGCTAAAAACTTTCACATATTAATTTTTGTTACCTTTTGAGGGTGTAAAAAATTTGTTAGGGTGTATTTGAGGTGTGTGAAAAATATGACATATCGCCGATCTGCCATTGAAATACTACAGGGCGTTGTTTGAGTGTTTCTAGTTAGTGTTCTAAAACATCTTTCACATACACCTTCAATTTTTATGAGGGGAATATACCATCAGGTGAAAGGTGTTTGCAAGTAATAGTGATAGTTTTATAATTTAAAAAAATTGTTAGTGTGTATTTGAGGTGTGTAAGAAATATGACATATCTCCGATCTGCCATTGAAATACTACAGGGCGTTGTTTGAGTGTTTCTAGTTAGTGTTCAAAAACATCTTTCACATACACCTTCAATTTTTATGAGGGGAATATACCATCAGGTGAAAGGTGTTTGCAAGTAATAGTAATAGTTTGATAATTTAAAAAAAAAAAATGTTAGTGTGTATTTGAGGTGTGTGAAAAATATGACATATCGCCAATCTGCCATTGAAATACTACAGGGAAGTTGTTTGAGTGTTTCTAGTTATTGTTCTAAAACATCTTTCACATACACCTTTAATTTTTATGAGGGGAATATACCATCAGGTGAAAGTTTTTTGCAAGTAATAGTGATAGTTTTATTTTATTTTTTTTGTTAGTGTGTATTTGAGGTGTGTGAAAAATATGACATATCGCCGATCTGTTCTGATACGCCATTGGTGCTTGTGATGCTTGAGTGTTATAGTTCTAAAACTTCTTTCTTTCTTGTTGATCTTAGTATTTGACAAAACTGGAAAGGTGTTTACAACGCTTTGTGATAGTTCTAAACTTTCTGTTCTTGAGGGGTCTGTGACAGTGTCAGTTAACATTCTGTCAATGCCCATGTCATTCCACACATGCAATAAGATATCTGAATTAGTTACTAATGTAAAAAAAATGTCTCAAAGTAGATTTTTTATAAAAGGACAGCTGATGTTAACATGTGTTCTACCGATAGTTTTGCGTTCTTTAACATGTTTGGGGAGGGATGGCGTGGTGTATCATTTTATTCTTTTATTCATTCACATATGTTCTTTTTCTTTTGTTCTTTTTTCTTAATTTCTTTCATTCATTCACATAAAATTCTTGCTCTTAATTAATTCATTCATTCATTGTAAAATTCCGACCTATACAATACACTGGCTGAAGTACTGTTAAACGCAGCGCCCGAAGTTGCTGGGACCGAACCAAGTCACTGTGTGCGTTGGAGCATGACGAGGCACTGCGTTAATTAGTACAAATGGTAAAGAAAGCAAGCAAGTGACCTATCCCTGTTGTAGAGTATCCCTGCTTCTACTATCATCTCTGCCATGCCTGTGGCTTTGACTCTGAGGTCCATCCATGGTACGACCCTGAACATGTCCAGGGCATCATGGAAAATCATGCTTTTAAACTTCTTTGGAATAGGCCCATATACAGCCTCAGAAGAATTCCAGCCAACAAACCTGATTTTGTCCTTTTTGATAAAGGCAATTAATGTATTTATATCATTGAATTTTCTGTCCCTTTTGACAGCAAGATTCAGGAAAAGCATGCTAAATATGCAGACCTTGCCTTTGAAATGTCTTGCTTGCATCCCAAGTACACTGTCGTCAGGCTCCACATTGTTCTCGGTGCCCTTGGTTTGGTACCCCCTGATCTCTTGGCGCAGGCCAGGAGAGTGACCGGGTTCTCCACCGGGAACACAGCCCTTCTCACACTGTTGGTAATGCAGAGGGCTGCCGTGTTGGGGAGTCTACATATTCTCCGAAAAGTTCTCGATGGGTTCGACAAGGCAGGGTTTCATGGGAGAAGTCATATTCACTGTCAGGGCTGCATGTAGAAGGGGCAAGGGCCCTGAGCTGAACCTTACCAGCCTGACTGTGCCCCAAACCCTCTCTGCTGCTTTTTTATCTTAAAAAATAATCATAATCATATTCTCCAAAATGTTCTTGGTGGGTTCGACGAGGATTCCTTGGAAAAGTCCCATTTGTAGAAGGGGCAAGGGCCCTGAGCTGAGCCTTGGATCTCCCGAACCCTCTCTGCTGCATTCTCATCTTCATCTATAAAACATAGTACTAAGAGGAAGAAAGTCTGCTTGTAAACAGAGTAGGCAATTTGTGTTCCATTGCTTGTGTCCAGTTGAAGTCTGGAATATTTTGAGTAAGGAGCTCCTTTTGGATTTTATTTGTTTTATTATGTTTTTAGATATATATTTTCAAACAAGATAACATTATTTTTGGCACTGAATGTAATTATAATTTCTGATAGCTAGTGTCATTTCTCTAACTGGACTCTGAAACCTAGAATTCCTTTGTGATAATGTTCAGTACTGTCAGTGCTGGGTGCAATATTCATTGCCACCTCCCCAACCCCACCATAGATAATTAATACATGGGGTCAGTCTGTACTCCAGTGATTCTAGGAAAATGAAGGCCATTATTTTCACTTAGGCCGGAACAATTTTATTTCTTGTTTTACGGATCCGCCTGTTGTATTTTTTCAAGAATAAGAACAAAAATTAAAATTAATTTTTCCCACTCAAAAAATAAATCCTAATGTTTTTTTTAGCCAAAATGTAAACTTACAAGAAAATTTGTTTTTAGAAGTTTTTTGCCCCATATACACTTCATAAATTGCCAAAAGTAAAATACTTTGAATATGTAGAAGGAATATTATTTTGATTGGTGATTGTATTATGATTTCTCTCCTGCCTTTAGGTTTTCTGAGGACAAAAATTTGTAAAACAATAAATATAATTGGTCTGGCCTTATCAGATCAATCAAGGTTCTTCTTAGTGTAGATGTAATAAACAGCTGTTTTGATGTATTTCGGAGACAATAAAAAATAATAATGTTTAGCAAGAGAGTTTGCATAAAATATCAAACATATTTACACCTTATTTGAAACTGCAAAGTAAATGCTATAGTATGTAAATGTCCTAGTCCTGAAGATAAACTAATATAATGTTATTTTTCCCACAGCATAGCCAGAGAAATGTATTGCATGTACTTTTGTCCTTTTTCTTTCATGTTTACATCATTCGTTAATTTATGCATGATTATTCGGAATCATGCTGCCAAAATTTATGTCTTTAATTCCATTGGAAAGGCCCTTGGGGCCAGCCCTGGATTTATGTGAAGAAAGAAAGGGGAGAAAGAATTGATGAGCTTGTTTCCATAAATTCAATGGAATTAAGCTGCATCATTAACATATTGTGATTTTCTTTAAAAGTAAATACATGAAATTAAACTTTTTCATGTGTTATTATATACATATACTAAAATGTTTTAAGCAAAGTTTGTGGTTTTATTCAAACATACTAACAATGTTATTTGTATAGTTTATAATACAAAAAAGCAGACAGACCAGATTTACAAAGGGAGACAACTGCATCTTAAATTTGACATGTCAGGAATGATTTTATGATCCCAGCATACAACTTCCACAAATATGTATGCATAAAAAAGAAAATAGGAATATCTGTATCTGTAAAACACACCCTGTTTAATGCAA